TATCATAAAATGCTTGTTACATCAAATGCTTGGTGATGATAGGACTGTCATCTCAGCAAACCTGCTGAAACACCCTGGAACCATATAACAGCAACAGTGGATAAAAAAACAAGTAGCCAAAGCCAATTGCCTTTGGTATGTTATAGAATGAACCTTGCTATCAAATTCTGTTGAATCACACCTTTATAAATTTCTGTTAAAATAATTTTTGCTAATATCTCTGAAGGTGATTCTGTGAGCAACGCTAACCACTCATTTTTGCAACAATGAAGAAGTGGCAAAATGAGTTAAAAATGAAAACTTGCTTCATGCAAGTTTTCACTAATTTCCATGAAGAAGAACCGTAGTCAGCAATGATAATTTTAAGGAAGTACAGTGTGAAAAGAATAAAGCCAAAAGTATTTAAATGCTGAATTAGTAAAATGCAAGAACAATAGGCAATGTTCAAAGCCAGGGGAACAGTAGTATTTTTTGTGGAAGCTGAAACCAAACAGCTGATCAAAATTATCTTTTAATTTTATTTCATTCAGAGAAGATAAAAACAGTGGTATAGCTATAACTACCTAGCCATGTGTTTTCTGTAGGTTGAAAACACCTATGCGTATTTAGCTAATTCTCAGCTAAGTATTCATTAATAATGTAGATGCTTTACTTTGAGCACATGATGATAGTGACTGTAAATTGCTCATATCAAGCAGTTTTGGGAACAGCCTGAGGTGACACTGTAGGGCTCAACAGAGTTTGCAGAGAAAAAAGGAGACTCATAACTGGCAGTAGAAGCCCCCATCAAGGGTTACCCCCAGGGACAGAGGTAGGTTGGACAAGACCCTGTTTTCTACCCCAAGTGGGGATGGAAGTACAAGGAGGACAAGAAACAGAGACAAAATGTATCCTTAGTTTCTCAGTAAACATAGCCTGGGCAGAACTGCCCCTCCCTTCCTCCCTCACACAGGGTGATAAGGTGTGTCTCCTCATGAAGGCTGCCGGTTTTCCATCACTTCCTTGAGCTGGGATGAGGGATGGCATTACTGCACATGGGAGGAGGCAGGATGCTTCTGGGAATGCAACCACCCATGCCACATTATGTCACATGCAGTACCAGGTCAAAGAAGATAACTATACTATAGTCCATCTGCACGTAAACTTCTCCCAGTGACAATAACATAAATATTTCAGTCATTAAAGAAAGTAATAAGGATCCTTTAATTTCATCCTCACTCTCCAATTAAGGCTGAACAGTGAAAAGCCTCATTCCACTTAGGACCTCACTTCCGTCTGCGGGGAGAATAGGTATGGCGTTACAGTACACCGCTCTGCTGCTCTGCACTGAATCCTCATATGGACATCTTTTGTTAGAGGTAGGGAAGTACAGAACCTGTGATATTTATAATGTAAATTCCACAGTGTGCAACTCCAGTTTCTACCAAGTCCTTTCTCTCTTCTCTCTCTCCCAATCTGGTACTACATTTTCCTTTCTTCTATACAGCTTTATAACAAAATATTTAATTTGCTCTTAAACTCAAGACAATGAACTTTTGCTTAAAATCCTTTCTAAAAAGGCATCTTGAAAGAATTCTGAAGAATAAGCAAGTATCCAGCAGCTAAACAGCAAACTCGCTTCCAATATTCAAACATGGAACTACAAGGAGTTGGCAGACTTCAGTTTTGGAAAAGATGAAAAACCTTCAAACCTTCACTTTGCTGAAATCTTGCTAACTCTGCACTGGGAAGAAATTCCCATTGTTATTCACAGTTCTCACTTCTGTGAAATTTATCTTAGTTTCTTACAATGTATCATTTTGGTCAAATAAAAAATTGGCAGGATATAAGAATTCACCAAGATGAAAAGGCTTTTTTGAACAAATAGAGAATGAAAGATATTCTAAGATTTTTCAAACATTTTTTTCCCTCTGCTGAATAATACTATGATTTTTTAATCAGTTCTGCACAGCTGAAATTCAGTATGAAGTTATAAAAAATATATTCTTATGGCTTGATTAAACTGAGCATACTGAGTAGGGTGTCCATTGTGATTAAATCGGCCTTACCATGAAAATAAATAGGTCTGTACTAACAACAGACTGTATGTCCTGTGCCACAAATATTGCTACCATAATATTGGTGCGTACTAGTAAAATGAGATACACATAAAAGACAATCTTACAGAAACTTAAGATCAATGTATTTGAGATCATATGATACTCTTTCCTAACAAATGTATTTTAAACTTCATAACAATCAAATAACAGACAGCTAGGCCAATTTTAAGTCACTTCAGACAAGCAGTTAAATATATATTTATATGATCCCATTTTATGTCATAAACATTAGAATGTGTTTGGGGTTGGATCTTTTTTCCATTTAAAGTACAACACAATCAATTACACTTGAAATCCTTGTGCTTGGCTTCTTTCCTCATTACTGCTGGCAAAGCTGGTACATATTAACATCTCCCCACTCTTCCCATTACATAGATTATTTTAAAAACTTTCATTGTTTGTAGATTATAAAAAAATTATGAGCATATTCTATAGATGCATCAATTTCAATAAGTTTTACTTTCTTTAAAAATAATTTATTATTGAAAGAAAAAAGAAGTAGAAACAGTTTCTGCAAAATAGATACTAAATAATATACATCAGTCTTACCTAGGTATTGATGGGGTTCTGGGCAACCTGATCTAGCTGAAAATGTCCCTGCTTATTACAGGGGTGTTGGCCTAGATGACCTTTGAAGGGCCCTTCCAGCGCAAGCTATTCTATGATTTATTTATTTATTTCACAAATACACAGACTTCCCCTGCCCCAAATTATTTTAAAGAGGGTTTAATCATCTATGACTTTACGTAATAATTTGATTAGAAAATCTGGTTTGTCAACAGAAATATTTCATTTAAAATTATAAAACTGAATTGTCAATCTTCTTGATTCTAACACAAAATAAGGTAGTTGTAGTGGTGAAATGATTTAATAGGAAATCTCCCAACATTTTTCACAAAATTGACCTTTGATGAGTTTTTCCATTTTCTCTTTGATACAACATAGGAAACGTTTCTTGTTCAGACAATCCAATACCAGCTGACAGTGAGCATCCATGGAGCTGGTTGTGCCTGTTCTCCCACTACACAGATTCTTTGACTTAACTGCTGTCATGATACAATGCAGGACCTTGAATTTTATGATACAGCAGGGAGATCAAATGACAGTAGCATAACTATAGTTAGTCTTAAATTAACGGGGAGTAAAGGTTCCTGGTTTCAGGTAAGTTAAGCTAGGGGCAAAGGTTGAGTTGCTTCTCACACTAACAGTGATGAGAAGTTAGTGTCATAGCATATTCATGAAGTCGTTAAGACATAAAAAGATATTTGCGTAGTTTGCACCGAAGCACTTACATTTGTTGGTTTTTGGAGGGGAGAGGAAGCAATCAGCCAATATTTAACTGCTGTTCTTACATTGTTTGGGCTTTCAGTTGTAAATTGAGACTACAGAGACTCCTATGCTTTCTGGTCTAGCACAGAATAACCTCATTGACAAGTGATCTCCCTACAGGATCATCTTTTGAGAAAAAGGGCATCACACTATAGGGCTTAACTGAAATCAGAACTTCTGAAATTGACAGCAGAATATGCTTTATTAATCTTTTTGGCTCCTCTCCCCCCATTTTTCACAGCTTATAACTGTAAGAACCTCTTACCTCAGCAACCATTTATCAGAATGAAAGGAAATCTGTCAACCTGCTCTTCAGAGCTTGTCAGTAATGCTCTTAATTAGCTTAGCAATCACTGTTGAACAAAATGAGGTTTTTCTTTACTAGTTTCTGAGTAAGACACTTCCAATTTCCAATATGCCATTTAAAAATGAGTCTACTGATGCACTATTTTGCACAGAATTTCAAAGCTTAAAAGAAAAGGATTAAACCTACTCTGCAAGACTTGAGAAGCCACATAATAGAGCCATTTTATATAATGTAGTTCTTACTCAGTAAGTATCTTGATTCAGGTATCTTTTATTCATACTTCAAATTTTATAGGCTCCATTTACTAATGTGAAAGTCCTGATGAGATTCAGCAAAGGAAATGGGAAGGTGGCACGGTATAAAGCATTTCAGCTTTAGCTGCTGGCAGACACTTAGTGAAACATTACTGAGTGATCAGGTTTATGTAACAGATATATTCTAACATTTTATGTCATTCATATTATTCTGGCATCAAGATTACATTGGGAAATGGATTCTGTACTCTATTGCTGGGCATATGAACAAACAATGGAAATGCCAAAGTGACGAATGTCCTCCAATTCATTTTACATACTTTTAATTTGCAGAGAAATGAAGCAGCCCACATTGGAAATTCCTGCAGGATTAGCTTAAGGGGGGGCTGAACAGGATGATTCAGAGCCTTCTAAATATTTAGCAACTCAAATATTCTCTCATTATTTTTAATGATATATCAGAACTTCTACTTTAAAAAGGCCGGAAACTTATGTAGCTGGAAGAAATAATTCGTGTACGACTGTCTTCCTTTTACATTCAAAACCTTTCAGATATTACACCACATGTTATACTACACAGAATAACACTACATGTTATTCTACTTAAAATATATTAAAAAAGGAAGGAATGGTGAGCTCCCACCTAAAAAGGCCAAAAGACAAAGGGCAATGAAGGCTTTCTCACTTAGGCCAAAGATGAGCCAGAGTTTCCCTCTGTTTTGATTTGCAAAAGCAGATTTACATTTTTTGTGTGAAATACAAATTATAATTGTATATCAACAGCAAAATTCCTATGGACTTCATCAAGGCTAGTTTTTATTTCTCTCTAATTTTGGTTTTGACCATGTACTTACAACAAACATGTAAGATGTTACTGATGGAATTCTGATAGAAACATACGTTCCTTCATCTGCTTACTCAAACAAAAATGAATGGGATTGCTTATGTGGGTAGGTGTTCATCACTTTGAGTATGGATTGCAAAAACAAAGTCCAAATAAGGAATACAAACCAGACTCAAATACAACTGGGGTGATTGAAAGCAATTCTTAATTTTGAATTTCTTGGAGAAAAGCCAGACTGTAATTAGATTTTCTGAACATAATTTCCTCAGGGATTTCAATAACCACCATACAAAAAGCTAATGCAGGTTTCCATATCAAAATTTTATTTGGCCTAATTTGCTTAATAATATACAAACTGACTGTGTGTAAAATTTGTACTATCCAAATTCCCCAGAGCAAAAACTATGACACTGAATTTCAGCTAGCTGAAAATTCAGTCTGCAATCCTTTTCTTGTCCTAAGCAAATATAAACTCTCAAATGCAAAATTTAAGTAAATGTCATGTATTAATATTACCTGTTACCCTGGGCTGTATAAAAAAGACATGTGCTTTGTTTGTCAATATTTAGTATCTTGTGAAACAGTGCTAAATCTTATGCCAGCTAGTAACCATAGACAATGAGTTGAGGATATATACAGTTTCTTTTTTTTTTTCATGCTTACATGTCTCTTGTATTTTTCTCCTTCCTAACAATGATTTCAGTTCACAAGGCTACTTTTGACTTGCATTTTTTGTGGTTTTGTAAATCCTGCTGTATAGAAGAGCATGACATAGCAATGAATGTTTATTTTATGTTGGGCTTGAATACTTTATAGACATGTCTATTATTGATGAAAATGTACAATTAATTTGAGTCTTACTCATGTATGCACAAAATGGTGTATACTTTTTTTTTCTCTCTGTTACTTAATCTATTTATGATTAAAAATCTGTAAGGATTTTTTTTTTAAATTTCATATCTGCAGTTAAAGGACGCACTGTGATTTGTAAAGCCATGGGTATCAGGTAGGATTTTAAGTGAAATTACTTCAACACAGAATTTAGACCACAATTCAACCTGATGCCTCAAAAATTTTGTGCTGTTTTCTGACATGGCAATTCCCCTTTTCTTTTTATTATGCAGCATTGGGGCTTGCAACATGCACAATGTTCCACTGGACAGAGAGGAGAAGCAATGCACGGCTCTGAAAGGTCACTGTGTGAGCTAATGAGGCCGCACCCCACAACCCTACAGTGGCTGCAGATCATGGATGGAAACTCAGACCGGCAGCACTATCTGCAAAATTTGAAGTGAATACTTGTAGGGATGTGCTGCCACCCACCAAGTTATTCCTATTGACAATATTAATTAGGCAATTAAACTACTATTTCTATCTTGGCAGTGAGATCAAAAACTGAAAGAGTGCGAGGAAAACACAAATGAAAGAAAAGCTGTATAAAAAGAGAAACCAACTCACTTCATTTTAGGGTATTTTGTGCAACCTGTGTTCCTTTACCTCTGTTGTTCTGTTTTAATCTTTTCAGGTCTTTACATATAAGCATTTTCATGTGCAGATGGAGGATGATAAACGCAATACCTATCTATTGAATTGCCTTTTCCCATCTGAAATGTAGTCTTCAAAAATGAAAAAAGCAAACCACAAAAGCCCCCACCTTGTTACTCTACAGCATATTCATTATCAGATCACCTCACACTACTAATTAAGCTAAATTTGACTTCTAAATAACTCTCGAAGAGCCAATTTATCTAAGGTAGTATGAGCACATATTCATTTCTCTTTATACATCACCAGCTGTTATTAATTCAATTCTAGTCACTTCAGACTGCAAGTTTGAAATAATTGCCACTATGGAAACATTTTTACATTATACTTAACAAGGAGTTGGGGTGTTACTTTACTGATATTGATAGTAATCTGCATATAGGTAGGTAAAGACCACTCAAGTTATTTCATTTTAGAGTTTGTGAGATATTAAAAAAAACGTGTAGAATTTTCAAGTTTGTTTCTTGAATGTGAAAAGCTTTGTCATAAAAACAGATGAAGTTTTACAAATAATCTGAAAGAGGGTGTGTTTAGATTAGATATTATGAAGAAGTTGTTTACAGTGAAGGTGGTGAGGCACTGGAACAGATTGCCCAGAGAAGCTGTGGCTGCACCATACCTGGAAGTGTTCAAGGCCAGGTTGGATGGGGCCTTGAGCAACCTGGTCTAGTGGAGGGTGTCCCTGTCCATGGCAGGGGATTTGGAATTAGGCAATCTTTGAGGTTCTTTCCCAACCCAAACTATTTTATAATTCTATGATTCTGTGATTATTCCCTAAAGAAAACGTATCCTTTCTGAAGGTGTAATTTACCTTTTCAAGCTCACAGTGGTAGCTTCCACCACATCTATGAAACATCTGTGGGCTGATACTTTGACAACTGGTAGATACCTGCTGTGTAGACTATCTGTATGAACAGGTATTAGGAGAAAAAGATGTACTTTGCACTCCCTTCATATTCTGTGTAAATACGTCGCATTTAATTAGTCATTGCAGCAGCAAGGTTCAAAGAGATCTTTGTTACAGATAATTAATAATCTTGCTTGTAAAAGTTTTGCAACCACAGGCAGACAAAATTTCCCACTTATAAAACTGAACTAGTATCTCCTGAAATCAACAACTTTTCTCAAGTTTCAGTCATTATAGTACATGTAAGAGAAATTAAAATCTTACGTCCTGAAATATTTATTAGTCTCATGAATAAAATCTGCATACTTCCAAAAAGCAAAATTTTTGCATTTTTTATAATGCATTTTCAAAATGTTGCACCCCACAAAGCTAGTTGGTGTAGATAATAAACTATTACTTGATTTACCAAGTTTTGCTTTCCTTTATTCCAAAGGCCATTTGTACGAAACAAAAGATTGTGAAAATGAACAACATTCCATATATTTATCTTACTTCATGTATATCATAATGCATTTACTATTTTTTTGCCAAAGGCAAGACCTATCAAGATCATAAGGAGAGGAACTCTAACATCTCTACAGATAAACTTCTTTTCTTTCTTACTGTGTTCATGAAGAAATACCAGTAATCTGATGAATAGTTTTAAGGTGATCTGAAGCACAACTTTTTTCACCAACAACTTCTGAAAGGTTATTTTCTTTTTTCAGTTACTGGTATTTAACTGTAAGACTATAACCATGATTGACTTTATTGTATGGAGGATGATGGGAAACAAATATTGTACCCTTTAATGAGTCACCCACTGAATTCACAGCTCACCTGCCGACTTCAATTTATAGGATAATTTACAAAACAAAACACTTTGTGTCTTTCATTTAGATATTGCATTTTGCCTATTTTAATGAAAATATGTACTGTGTTTTCTTGCATTGGGTACTCTTGTTTGTGAGCAGTTTCTAACTTCTTATCTAAATGCAAATTGCTGATGTAAACGTTATTAAAAGTGAAGTAAAAATGAAATCCTTAAGCCCCTTTCAAGTAATAGAAAGAAATATGCTTATGATAGGTTGTTATTTTTTAAAAGTGAACATAATACTATTAACTAAGGTCTACATTTTAAATGCAGCAGTTTCCTAAAAGGTAGAAATCACTTTCAGCTTAAGCCCAGCGAATCACCACCATTGTCATCAAACGATATTAATTATAGAATTCAAAGTCTTAAGCAAACATCATAGAATCTAAACATATGACAGAGAACTGGAAGGACAAAAGGATGGTATGTATAAAGAAGACCTGTAAGTTAGTCAAATCAACAGTTCTTACATATTAATCCCAAGCAAATTCACCAAGAATAGCTCTTATTCCTCAAATTATTTCACTTAATCTTGCAAGTCATAGCCACTTTATGTGGATTTAATTGGGCACCCAGAGGTTGCCCAAATACATAGACAATCTTATTGGAAGAAAATACAAACACAACCTGACATTCATTAGCTACTGAGAAGCTACATTGAGCCAAATAGTCTACTCAGCTTTATGTGGTGATTCTGGGAATAATTCTTACCATTATTTTACAAATTGACTAAAAGAAACCAGTTTTATGTAAATTTGGGAATCCTGCTGAGGTTCCTGACAATTGGTAAAATGAAATGGAGATAAAACAACCAGTGCAAATAAAAAGCAATTTGCATGAATTCTGGTCAAATGGAAAGAAGCTAATGGACATGGCGTTTACATGTAAGAAACTTGCCTTGTAAACTGTAGATTTCTCCAACGCTGTTCTGCCGGGTGATATGATGCCAATATGCACTACGAGGAAGTGAGATCGACTTGGATAACGTCATAGGTTCAGACAGACTGGTCTGGAGCTAAAAGCCAAAGGCAACATAAATGCAAGATCACACAACCATACTTGACAGAAAATCTCAAAACTGTAAATTGAACCAATGTTGTTATGAAGATAGTATTTCCTGAATTTCCATTGGTTTTATCCTGTTATTTAAGCTGTGTTATAAGGATCAGCACTGTGAATGCTCAGGAAAAGGCTGCAAAAGAGTATTTGGGCATATAGGCTCATTAGCACAAGTTAATATTAGGGCATAGGAATATGTTCCTATTTATCTACAGCTGTTCTTGTTGCTTTCAGGATTTTGTTATTTTCTTTATGATAATGACAGATTAACATATGCCTGAAATCTTAAATCTCTCTACAATCACATTTCTTTTTTGTCATTTAACCTGCATATTGGATTGAATATCCAAAAAGATTCTAAGACAGAATCTGAGACAACCATCAGAGAATTAGCAATGAAGAGTCATTAATCCCCTAATCCTACATTAAAGTGGGGGCATATCATCACCAGTAGTAGGCTATAGCCTCAAGAGCAAATTTTCCCAGTCCAGCAGACTTTGTGTAACTGAAACTGTGAATTGCATAATAAGTGTCCATTTGTGCAAGAGCTACGGCACAGAAAGCTGACAGGAGGAATGTAAATTTATTAAAGAGAGCTCTGTCTCCAGTGGGCTATAGGTGAGAGTGAAAGACTAGACTAAGCTATAAAAAAAAAAAAAGAAGGATGGAGGACTGTGCATCCTGACAACCTCTTTGGATATACCTGTGTAACTTACAGTTTTTATGTCTAGAAGAAAAGAGGATGTATCCTCAAATTTACAGAATATAAAAGGCACAAAAACAATGGGATCTAACAAATCTCAATGATGCTGTGGGGCATAATTTCTTCAGGGGATGTCTGGAAGAATCAACACTGAAGGATTAGTTATGTCTTCAGATTTAGAGTGGAAAACCTCTTAAATTCAGAAAAGGCACCAGGATGGTGAGGGTGGTACTCTGAAAGGGTGTGCCTAAAAAACTACATTTTCAGAGCCCAGCTGTAGAGTAGAAGGTATTCAAGGTCTGGATCCTTTACCTCAGACTAATTATTGAGTCTTAGGGATTCCTCATTCAGGATCATGATGCCATATTAAAAAAAGCCATTTTTTATGTGTGCAAACTCACGTTATTCTGTAATAAAAATCTCCCAACTTTTAGAGACTGTATCAACCCAAAGAGCTATATTTCATTTTTGAGTATTAACACCTATTGATGTGTGGCAGACATTTTGCTTCAGATCAATCTGCTGTAATACTTGCATTGTTTTCTTAAGAATTGTAATCAAAATTACTTCTTGTCTACAGTTAATGTCTTTTCTACACATTTCTAGACAAATATTCCATTTCATTTTCAGTGGTGCAGATCATCACTGGAAGCTATTCCATATGAAGTGAAGAGCTTGCAGAAACATTTCCTCCTTTAAAAAAGTTGCAAATACTAATTCAAAGGAATTCTATTTTTAGGGAGACTTGAGAATTTAAAATTTATTGATGCAGGGAATTTCCTTTATTGTGGAGATCAGGGTAATAAAAAATCTTCTAAGTTATCTTGCCATGTTAGCATACCAAAGGTAACAAGGGTAACTTTGTTGAGCAAGACAAATAAATAAAATCATGTAACTTCAATACACAGATGACTTTTTAATAATTTATTCACCCAAAAGGTAAAATATAGTTTTGAGGCAATAGGCAATATTTTCTATTAGCATGAATTCTGAAAAAAAAATAATTCTAGTAAAGGGAACCATTGTGAGTGTGGTTAATTATATCAAACCCAAATCCATGGACTGAACTGGGGGTTAAAGTTATATCATTATTCCTGGTCTGAGATGATCAGTTCCTGCCTGGTTTGATCTGGGAAAGAATTTGAGGCAATTCTCCCCCTCTACTCTGCTCTGGTGAGACCCCCCCTGGAGTAACGCATCCAGCTCTGTAGTCCTCTGTATAGGAAGGACATGGACCTGTTGGAATATTTCCAGAGGAAGTCCACAAAAATGATCTGAGGGCTGGAACACCTTTCCTATGAAGACAGGCTGAGCTAGTTGGGGTTGTTTAGCCTGGAGAAGAGAAGGCTCAGGGAAGACCTTATTGCAGCTTTCCAGAACCTAAAGGGGGCTTATAAGAAACTTGGGGGCAAGCTTTTTTAGCAGGGCCTGTAGTAATAGGATGAGGGGTAATGATTTTAAACTAAAACTAGATTCAGACTAGGCATAAGGAAGAATTTTTTTACAATATTGGTGAAACAGTAGAATAGGCTGTCCAGAGAAGTTGCAGATGCCCCATCCCTGGAAACATTCAAGGTCAGGATGGATGGGGCAACCTGTCCCTGCCCATGGTGGGGGATTGGACTAGAGGACCTTTAAAGGTCCCTTCTAACCCAAACCATTCTATGATTTCTCTGAGGGTTTTTTGCAGTCTTGCATCTACGAACTGACCTTAGTCTTCAGTAGGTATATAGAGAAAAGTAAAAGCATTATACCTGACTAAACATACATAATATATTAACATAGCATTAGATAAAACATGTTTCTAGAATGATTTTGCTACAAATATTTCTCAAATCTACTTAGACTTCAGGAAATGAAAAACATAATCCAGACTTTTTTCCCCAGTTTAAGAGGGAGAAAATTCATGATGTAATTAGAACTTGGGTAAAAACTAGAAATGCATATATCAAACCACATCAACTCAAGGATTTTTTTTTTTGGTGTGAATAAAAAAATCCATAACTGAAACACTTTTGTTATCTGCCATGATACACCTAGTAGTTAGGTTTCCTCCAGTTTCCTCCAGAGTCTTTCTTTTATAACTTTCACACAGTGAACATTACAATTGTTTCCTGTATCCAAATCCAAAATAACAAAAATATTAAGTCATATGAAGCTTTTGCATTGTTAGTAACTACTTGATAATTCTTAAGGACTATTTGATTAAAATAATAAATTTATTAATGTGCTACTACTGTAAGTACTTCCCCATATTTTTCATTATTGTTCTTTCATGAGACAAGGCTTAGGGCTAAATTTTCTTTTAATTCCCATAGGCCATCTCCACTGACTTAAATAGATTTGTCACTCTGATATCAATAATGAATACGATTCCAAGAATGGAGCCCATTAAATGTATTAAGGTTCTGAGCTTTCATCTGTTTAGCATATTATTCTCTCATTTTCTTTTTGCATCAAAAAAGTCAAAATGTTGAAGGTGACGGAAAATATATTTGGCCTGGGAGAAGAACTGAACAGTATACAGTTCATTCCATTTTTTAGCCTGGAATAAAGACAGGTTTTTTATATGTATGTTTTGAAAATAGTTTAGTTTATTATGGATAAAAACCCCAAAACCACAAAAAAGCCCATTTCATGTTCTTAGTAGAGTTCTGAAACACAGTAAGAGAACTAGGTCACATAAGACTAATGAGAATTGTAGCATGGAAATATGAATTAAATACCACTATTCAGATTTTTAATATCTTTATAATTCAAAATAAGGTTGCTTTGAGTGCTATGCCTTGAAGAGGAAGAGGGGCCAAAAAATATATTTAAGTTCTCAAGTGTCCATTAGCCGACAGTGGAATAGCACAGACTCTTTTCATGGGTGTATCCACAGTGTAAAATTACTAGAGTTAAGGAATCACACAATCTAAGAGGGTAGTATCAGCTGACGTATCATCTCAGCTATCAGCTCAGTTAGAGAACAAGTAGGATGGAAGAAGTTTGCTTGTTTGTGTGCTTGTTTTAATGAGTTTTCAGCAATAACCAGGAAAAAAGTGTCATGTTTGCCTTTTTTGTAAAAGCAGATGCTGTTGTCCCATGTTCGACTTTTGTGCTATGACACGTAGACTTGTTCTACAAAAAGTTGTTCCCATCTGGTACTGTGAAGCTGATTATTTCTTCTTTAGCACAGTGGTTTGCCCGTATTTCTCTTGAATTTGATTCTGCCATTCCAAACATTTTTTTCCAACTTGTCATTTCGAATTCTGTCTCTTCATTACCTACTTCCATGTTGTCTTATAACTGTAAGATCTGGAAGTCTAATAATTAGATTATGCCTTGATTCAGTACTTCTGTGAAGATACTGAAAACTGGATTCAGGATATATTCCTAGTACAAGTCCAATGAGATAACTTTTTGGTTATAATTTCCCCATAACCTTTGTTCATAATCATGTAGCTCGCTTAGAAAATAGTCATGTGTTATTTGGACTGTGTTCATTACTTTAAAGTGCCTACTGTTAATATAAACAGATACACATATCAACATACTATTTATTTTCTAAGCATTGTGTATGTTTATTTTTACATTTTTATCCAGCTTGCTGTTCCTGACAGAACAATATTGGCAAAACCCCCACCAACATATGACCTCACAAGTCTTCTGAAAAGATTTGTAAGAAAGCTGGCTGTGAAAGTCATTTCTGTGATTTCAGCCTTTGTATTTCTAGCATTCAGGTTTTCAGCACCTATTCTAACCTTGTTATGACCTTTTAGAGAGCTTTTTAGTCAATTATAGAGGAAGAGATCTCAAAATAACATCATCACTTTTCAGTGCCAAGCTGGATGATGATTATTCTTTGGTGGTGGAATATATTTATGAATAATAAAGCAATAGTGAAATAAAGGTGTTCTAAAGGGAGATTCAATGGGACTGGGTTTTGGTTGGTTTTTTTCCCCCCTCCTTTCCTAATCTCCTCAGCCACATTCTAAAGACAGGATTGTGGCATTTCTCACCTTTCCTTTTCTGGCAGAAATGTGTTTGGTTTCTTTCCTTTTTTTTTTTTCCTTCCCCCTTTTCTTTCTGCTAAAAGAAGCTCATAATAGATCATTTTGTTGTTTGACAAAATGGATTAATGTTGGAGAAAATTAGCTGCACTTTGCAGTGCATTGGGATTATGTTTGTTGAATGTCAACAAAATATATGCATCTTCACCCATATTTTGTCACAAAATTGTGGTTTTGTTTAATTCATGAAAGAAGTTT